CCTCCCCAAAACCCCAAAACCCCAAAACCCCATGGGATAAAAAATTATTGAAACGATAAATTAATAAAAATGCTATTCTCAGAAGAAAATAAAGAGAGCAATGACTCATTAGACCTTACCCCGCTTGAAGATTTGCTGAATTATCAGCATGAAAATGAGACAATTAAGGAAGGTAGGTTTTGGCAACTCTGAACCATTTTTAGAAGCTCCACAAATTTTGCAACAGATTAAGGACACATGGCCAGACCTGCATGGTGAGGATACGATAAAGCCTGAATACCAACTTCCTCATAAAATACAGGAAAGGAGAGAGCGAGGCAGGATCAGGTCCAAAATCAGTAGAGATCGTAAGTAAAGAGTATGTTGGAGTTCTTGAATCAAAGATCAAAGCACTTGAGGAAGAAAATTCTAGACTTCAGAACATTGTTATAAATCTCAATACTGAGAAATATTCTAAAGTTGATCCTAATTCAAAGGCTTTCTTGCAGGATATTCAGGAGCTGAAGAACAAGACTGTTGAGAGGTTTTTCAATGTAGACACAATGGAGCACAAATCTAATCCTTCTATTACTCTAGGGAAATAACTATTGGATGAGTTCATCAGAAGCTATGAACAAACACAGGCAATTCCTAGATTCTGTGTTCGAAATGATCATTAATCACCCATACTCTGTGACAAGGTATAGATACTGGAAAGACCTTAACTCTGAGTATCAGACAGATTTTGAGTGCATAAAGAAGCTCAAGAAGTTGAGTAAGTATCAAATTCCAGAGTTTATGAAGGAGAACAATCTCAGTCCTCTTGATGAATATGTTGCATCATTTAACCCCTCCAAGCGACAATTTGACTTCCTCAAAGATGTTGCTTTGAAGAAGGAACTAGCTATAAAGAACCAATTTCGCACAGCTATAGAGCTTCTTTTGGAGGCAAAGTCAATTATACAGAAGGCTAATCTTGAAATATACACTTTTATTGGCTTCTTCTTGAAATCTGGTATTTTCAGTGATGAACAACTACTCAAGTCCAAGATCAAAGATGGATTCTTTAGAAAGGAGCTAGCTTTCAAAAACATCTGGAACATCCAGGTTTCTCACCAGCGATACTGAGTTGACATGGGAGAGGATGAAATTTACGGAAAAGTTGCTAAGAAATATCTCAAAAAACCTGAAAGGATCATCTATTTTGAGTACAATGACTACTCTCTCCCTGTTTAACCAAATATCCTAAAATTCTTTCAGTAAATTCTAAATACCTCGGGGTTTTGGGGTTTTGGGGTTTTGGGGTTTTGGGG